TGGATACTACATGTAACTATAAGATAACATAATGCTATAACCAATATGTTGTCGTTCTGCGCTATCTCAAACAAAATTTTAGGAAGAAAGCTTTCGTCATTACTGTAAAGAGCGATAACAGTAAACCCGAGAAAACTAATTTCTTGAAAAACAGTTTTAATGGAAGGATTTTTAAAAAATTCAACCGACAGTAGGACTGGTTTTCGTTCAGTGAATACAAAATGTTTCCTTATAAGGAAACGGTTACCATTGCCTTTGTCTGGTGGGCACAACTTTCGAAACGTTGCGATAACAAGAAGAAAGATGAAGACAGCAGTCCAAATGCAAATACTGTATCAGGTTGTTCGGGAAAAATGTCCGTTTTTATAAAAAAGAAAACAAAAAACTTTTAGTTGTGATCTAATGTATTATTATAGCTGCATAAAAATATATAATCCATTTGTAATGCTGTTAAATAATAGTTTAGCCGACTATTATCTTTAGGGCAAGTGTCCCTCGGCACCGCCTTTCGGAGGTTGACATTCGGAGTCATATTTGAGCCATAATAGGAAAGTTGATTTTGATTGGCAGAGCTAGCGCGGGAAAGATAGATAGGAAAAATATCTCATTGAGTTGGTTCTTACCCGTCAAATAATGTAGACGTGTTCTCTTTCGTGTCCTAAACGGCTCCCCAGTGAGGTGGGGGCGATCCACACTCGATAGTTAGATAATGTACATGTCGACATGGGTAATAAAAAGAGTTAAGTTAAAATTCTGTGTCTGAAGTCTTTCATTGCTGGGCCAAATCAAAAAGCGATGGCCGACCGGGAGGAGACGAGATAAGACCTCCTTCCCCGCTCCACCAGATGGCTAAGCAACAATAGTTAAATTGTACTCTTTCTTAATTTCATATCAGTCTTTCTGAACTTAACTCAAAACACCTCTCATCTTGAGCATGAAAAAGAAGATATACGTTTACTTCTGATATTTCTGAACTTAACTTAAAATACCTCACATCATGAGCATGAAAAAGAAAATATACGTTTACTTTTTGCATGAGTTCATGCCTTCGTCATGATACTTCTGAAACTGCTGGCAATATTAACAAAGTATGCGGTGAATGACCCACTTGTGGTCGGAGAATATGGCGCTGCATTCGGAAAAATTCCTCAGTGGAGATACAAGTTTGAGGTAGAAGAAGTGGTAGAGAACATCCTTCTGCAACTGACAAGAAATATCTGGAAACAAAACCCACGTCAAAGTGTCTCAAAATATCGCAGACACTGGGTGTCAGCTTGTCAGCAATATTGGACCACCTCAAGAAAATTGTCAAAGCGAATGACATTCGATAAATGGCTTCCATATGAACTCAGTGAATTTGCCGCTTTGAAGTCTGTTCGATGGTGCATCTACGAAAATCGAATGGTCCATTTCTTAGTCATGCCCTGGGAGTATCAAATTCTGCAAACCGTCTTTTCTTCCTCGTTGCTCACATATTCCGTCTATGGTAATCTCCCTTCCTGGGTATGACGATAAACTACATCCGCATCTACGTCCAACAGCAAGGCCGCTGATCAGGAGGTTTTGAGGAGCGTGGAACCACCTGTTAATCGCTGGTATTCTCAGGTCCACCCTGACCCGGGGTGGTAGCACCTGTTAGGGTCCCAGCTATGGGAAAATAGTTAACTATTACAAGCAATACTATTTTTAAAAAAAGAAATATTACCAACAATACTTAAAAAAAAAATATTACCAGCAATACTTTTTTTTAAAAATTATTACCAGCAATAATTTTTTTGAAAAAAAAATTATTGTCTGCAACACATGTTTGAAGGAAAAATATTGCCAGAAACAGATTTTTGACAAAACAAAATATTACCAGCAATAAAAAATTTTGTCGGCATTAAATAACCCATTGAGGTTGATATGCAATAAAACAAACCAAACCAAACCAAACCATAGTAATCTCAGAATACTTTTGTAGAACTAGATTTAAGGTCACAGAAATCTGTTTCTATAGAAGAATGCTGAGATTAACATGGACAGAGCATGCGAGCAACGAGGAAGTTTTAAGGTAAGTGGCAAAAAAGGACGCTTCTACTTTGAATCAGAAAGAGACAGTAGAAATCTCTGATACATATAATGTAGAAAGAGAGCATCGAGAATTTGGCCCTCACTGGGCATAAAAAAAGATGGAGTAGTGATTTCTGATGAGAAATTGTTCCTTTGTGATAACTGAAAATGGTCAGCTGAATCCACTGATCATGACGAAACACAGAAACATTTTCAAAAACAAAAATTGCACTAACAGAAGATTATGGTGACTGGTGTCCCGACATTTGCGTTGACCGTTACATTTTTCAGGAATCTAACCAGAGCATTACTGCCGAGGTTTACTACCTGGAGCTAGATAAAATGCACAACCAGTCAAGCATAATGCGCGCTGGACTGGTTAGCCGATGAGGTCCAATTCAGTTTCTTTCCAATATTCGGCCGCATATTTACAAGATGATATTGCAGA